ACATTGATTGCTATTTTACATTTTGGATTGGTAATGCAAATGTTATACAGTAAATACTTATTTTTGCCTCTGAAGGTTATAAATCATATATATATATATATATATATATATATATATTATTCTCATTTTATGTATCAATCCCAATTTCCTGTCCCTCCCTCCCTTACTCCCTTCCTTCCTCCCTCTCTATCTCCCTCCCATGCAATCTGATCCCCACTCCTATACCAACCCCACCCATTCCACAGGGAGGTGATGCCTTCCAAGGGGGATCATCAAAATCTGTCAAGTCATTTGGAGTAGGGTTTAGGCCCTCCTTACTGTCTCTAGGTTAAGGGAGTATCCCTCCATGGAGAATGTGCTCCCAAAGTTCTTTCATACACCAGGGATACATACTGGTTCCACTGTCAGAGGTCCCTTAAACTGCTCAGGCCTTCTAACTGAGGCCTATGTTCAGGAGGTCGGAGTCGGTCCAATGCTGGTTTCCCAGCTGTCAGTCTGGGAGTCCATGAGCTCCCCCTTGTTCAGGTCTTTCTATTTCCTCGTGCATATTCTTTCTATAAGATTGGAAAATTGCTAGGTGAATTGGTGGATATAAACATCCTGACCTAAAGTCATTGTAGACAGGTTATCAATTTTGAAGAAATATTGAAATTAGCCAATAGGATCAGCCAATTAAAATTTACCTTTAAAAAAATGTCAGCTGGTCATATTAATTCTCAGGCAAGTTATATCTGTAGAGTTGACCCAGGAAGACTGTGCAGAGAGCAAATACATTCTAAACAAGATCTTAAGTGAGTAGCAGTCAGAGAGACTTTATTTATTCTCTAATAGGTGATTGATCAAATATTTCATGGAAGATAGGTGGAGTTATCTTTCTGAAATGACTTCCACGATTAGGACTGCCAGGAGGTCTTATAAGGACTACATCTTTGTGAAAGGCTGTGGATTATCAACAGGAATAGGACGTGGAAGTTCCTAATTGCAGAGACCATATTCAAGGCCACAGTGAGCTTGAATTGCATGGATCACTTTTTCCTGATACCTTAGCCCAAGGATGACCACTGAGAAATAAAGAGACTAATTTATTTTATTTAAATGGTTGATTATACAAGTTTTCTGTTCAGTTATTAGATTGTTTTGGCTGGTTTCCGTGCTTAGAGAGATCTTAATGGCTGCAACTATTTCAGTGCCTAGAAGTTCTTTCCACACTAAAGAATTAGATGTAATTCTTACTTTGCTGGGGAAGGCTGCATGTGGCATTATTATTATTGCCTTGGATGTCATTGAGGGAACTCTGTCTTAAAAACAACAATGAAGATTTCAGGATTGTGGAGAAAGTTCTTTAAAAGAAAAATTAAAATTTATTTTACACACCAACCACAGTTTCCCCTCCTCCTCTTCTCCAGTTCTTTCCTCCCACCTCATTTCCACACCTTGCCCCCCATTCACTTTGCAGAAAGCATAAGGCCTCCCAGGGGGAGTCAATGAAAGCCTGACGTATTAAGTTAAGGCAAGACCAAGCTCTTCCCTGTTGCATCAAGGTTGAGCAAGGATTCCACTGTAGGGAATAGGTTCCAAAAAGCCAGCTCATGTGCTAGGGTCAGATCCTTGTCTGACTGCTAGTTCTTACAACACAGAGAACGCTTTATTTTGTTCTTGCCATGTGGGAATTGCCTGTGAATTCTTTATTCAGGTTCCTACAGGAAAGGCCTAAACTGTCTATTAAAAGGAGGACCTGAGTTTTGGACCAGGACTGCTTGGAATTCTGTCTTAGTTAAGGTTACTATTGCTGTAATTAAACACCATGACTAAAGCAAAATAGGGAGGAAAGGGTTTATTTGGCTTATTTAACCACATCATAATTCATTACTAAGAAAGCCAGTACAGAAACTTAAGGGTAGAAACATGTAGGCAGGAGGTATGTGGAGGCCCTTAAGAAGTACTGCTTACCACCTCAATCCTCATGACTTGTTCAGCCTGCTTTCTTATAGAACCCAGGGGTGGCCTCACCCACAATGGACTTGGACCCTCTCCCATTAATCACTAATTAAGAAAATGCTACACAGGCTTGCCTACAGCCAGATCTTATGTGTGTTATTTTCACAGTTAAGGCTCCTTCTTCTGTTGATCTAGCTTGTTTTAAGTTGACATAAAATGAGCCAGAATAAACTATTTCACACAGAGGTCCAAAGTTTCCTTCTTGTTGTGGTGCAGAGATAATTTGTGATATTTTATTGACAAAGTGTGTCATTTGACAAAGTCCACATGGAGATATAAATGATGTCATGGGTCTTCTACTAATCAGTATTTATTCATTTGTTTATATTTCTGCAGCGTTGAAGACTAAAGCCAGGATTTCATGAATGTTAGTACTCTTAACATTGAACTTCACCTAAAGCCCAACACATTTGCTCCATGCTGACATAGGTGCACCTGTGAAGCCTAGAGTATTTTTCTTCAGAGCCATGAGATTAAGTGATATCTCACCCCAAATGAAATTTGAGAAACATGTGTCCCTAGAATGCTCTGGCAGCCCTTACTAAATGCTTGGGAAATGTGCATGATTGACAGGGATGGTCTTGCTGTTCCCTGTTCCACTATTTCTGTATTCATAGGATAACTCAATAGCACTCTATATAAGGGAAATGCCTTTGGTAAAATGAATTTCTTGATGATATTTGTGGTATTTGTGGAAATACTTAAAAATTAATATATCTGAGAGTCTATATGAGGGTGCCACTGGCCTTTGTGAGGTCACAGTGAGAAAGATAGTTAAGCATGCAAGCTTCTTGAAGACAACTTTTGCATCTTGTTTTAAACTCTGAAAAGAAACAATGCAGTTTTAGCCTGATAACAAAGTTTCTGGCACATGAGAATTTAAAAATAAGTAAGAACACCAGAAATCATGCAGCCAAAGAACTCTGCCTCAGAAACAGGGCCTTTAAAATAAAGATGCCTTGAGACTCTTAATACTTTCCCATCTATCATCGTAACTTCCTGAAGTGAATCTTCCTGCCATTAGGGCTTGCAGGATGTCAAGTATAAAAGCCAACCTCCTGAAAAGTCATATCCTGGATGCCAATCATGGTCTGTGATCATTAATTAAATGGAAAACAGATTAGTTTTTTTTCTTCAAAGTAACCACTGCTTCTTTACTTTTAAAATGATTTTTTTACAAAAAAAATACAAACCCATTTTAAACTTCAGAAACATGGAAACTATAAATATAGAAAAATAGAAGGAAAAAATATAATTCCTTCACAAAAGGCCACAAAGTCAAAATTTTGTTGATTTCATCTTACATTGTTTGAAGTCATGGTTGGACACTTTGGTTATTCCTCTTATTGCTGCTTCTGCAGTCATTACTACTACTAAATTTATTCCTCACTGTTTACCAAACGTAATTTTTTATTGTCACTAGGCTTTACATAGAAAGCTGTTATGTGTTTTTAAAATTCTTCTTTAAAATGGCATCTTATAGATGATACAATGGAAATTCAGAAAAGCAAGGAACATTTTAGAGCTGGCCAGGCTATCTGAAGGCCTGACTATGTGTAACTTTAATGCCTACTGTTTTTATAAAAATTAAAACTATTATGTATAGTGCCTTTTCACATAAAATATCGCAGCTTTCTCTATGCCTCTATTTCTATGCATAAACTTATTTAAATATTTTGAAAATCAGGTTATAATATAATTACATCTCTCCATTATTCCCACCCCCAATGCCTCCAATGCTTCTTTCTTCCAAATTCATTTTAAATAGCAGAGTATAGCCATCCATTTTCAGAGTTTTTCATAGAAATAAAGTTGTAAATAGTTTTAATTTAATGTAAGTCTTTTTAACATTTAAACCCAAATCATTGTGACTCACAGTGTGTGATCAGGCCTGTTAGACTTAGCTGGGAAGTCATATGGAAATGGAGGTGAGGGCTGATAATTCAGTCAGCAGCCCCTACTGAAGTTTATTTCTCTGAGAAAGTGTACTCTCAATGTCAGCATGAACAAAGGCCATCTTGTGTTCACATTTGAAAAATTTAAGTCTTTCAATACAAAATTCCAAATGTGCTGCTTCACATGTACCACCGAGGACTCAGCTTTCAGTAAACGCAGTTTCTGACTTAAAGTATGATTATCTTCCCCATGACAATATATGTCTTAGCATTGCTTTCTCTTTGGTTTCTATACCCATTGTAAGTGGTGCAAAACTTCTTATCCCCCAGGGAATAAAGTTATCACACTTTTTAAAGTTCTATCAGTCTTCACTAATAACCACTGAATCCCAATTGCAAAACTTGTTTATATCTTTCTTACTTATCATCTGTATTTAATTCTAGTTCTATCTACATCATGTTTTTTTTAAATATCTTGTTCAGCATAGTTTTGTCTGTCTTATTAGTCTAAATGAAGATGCTAGGAGAAACAATGTTTTCCTCAGAAGGAAGACATTAAGATGAAAAGTTGTCACATTTCTGCCAGTTATTTGAAGGAGCTAATTAGGCATCTATTCCTTAAAACTCTTCATCAAGACTATGTCTTGAGCACCCATACCATAACTGGCATTAATAGCAGAAATATGGTATACAGAAGAGAACAAATTAAAAACATAAAGCCTAGTAGATGATGCATGTAAGATGTAATATATAGAGTAAAAATTATTTATTTTATGATTTTAAGCTTAATTCATATCTATTCTTAGATGTGATTATACACTTAGATTATACACTTTAATATGCATCCATTGGTTTTCCCCCACAACCTTTGTATATTAAAACACTGTAAAACAAATTGAAACTATATGCTTGCTGTTTGCGTGTTGGTCACTTACTAGATTTCTTACTAAATTTCTTGCTCTCTTTCTGCTGTCATGATGCTTTGTTTTTCTGCCTTTCAAGAAGATTTGTTTGTTGTGTGCCAGAACACTGCATGGCTCCACGGAGCCCCAAGAACTATGAAGGGCTGGTCATGTGTGTCAGTAACTCCTCCCTCTCTTGCCTTAGGTCAAAGGATCTCATAAAGGAGGCCATCCTTGACAATGACTTCATGAAGAACTTGGAGCTGTCACAGATCCAGGAGATTGTGGATTGTATGTACCCAGTGGAATATGGCAAAGACAGCTGCATCATCAAGGAAGGCGATGTGGGATCACTGGTGTATGTCATGGAAGGTATGGTTAGTAATCTGTTCCTGTACCACTCACTCCTTTCCAATTTTCTCATCTTCACAAGGATTGCAATATATTCTGTGAAACAATGTCTATCTTCATTCTTTCATTTTACACCACCAGGTACCATGTTGTCTAATTAGATGAATATTGCGGTTAAATAAGGATCAGGATAAACAAATAGGCCGAATAGATGTTTATTCAGGGAGAAATAACTTACAACCTAGACAGATGAACACCAGGAAATTCAACCTGATCCTCTCCTGACCGAGACACGCCAGCAAGAGAGTTTTTTCCGACTCTCCCTCCGACTTCCTTCCACAGGTCACTTCCGCCCATGGCTCCACCCCCCAATGGGCGTGGTCAGTGCCACAGAAGGACTATCTCACTACAGATGAAGTTTTGTTGTTTAGGATTTTATTATAAGGATTCCCAACTAGAGAAATTCAATAGTGTGAAAACAGCATTGTTTGCTAACTCAATGAGACTGAACACAATTGCACTGTTGAGCATGGTGATAATGTAAGATAATGGGAAGTCCTTTAGGTGAGGTAATTAGAATCTTCAACTCTACCCTTAACTTTTAATACATGATTCTTTTGGGTAAAAATGATGTTTTCAGTCACTTGCATATATGTCACAGAGACAACGAAGACTGAATGGGATATGAGCTGTCTAACTAAAAAGAAGAGTAGGAGATTTCATAAACCTTCAGAGACTAAGACAGAAATTGATTTGGTAAATAATTCATCCATTTACTTTATAGACATATTTTATGCCTAAGTAAACTTTAATAATGGTTGTTTCCAATGTGGAATTTATAATGGTGTGTTTTACCTTTGTGGGACCAATCTGAGATTATGTCTGGACAAGCTAAGAAGAAAGGGAGTCCAGAAATCCATGCATTAAAAGTTATATTTGGTTTGTTATGTATGGCCAGTGTTCAGTCAATGGCATTCATATTGAGTGATTCACGAATTCTATCGTCTCTTTCAAGTTTTAGCTCATTAAGATAAAATATGTGCTGGGGAAAGTCACATTTTCTTTTTAGCTCCTCCTTGTTCAAGTAAGCTGTCTCTATGTGTTTTTGCAACCTGGTCTTGTCCTCTCCCTCTGCATCTGCACTCTAGTTCGACTCAGTGTTTAGTTATGGGTGTTTTCTTCTGTTTCCAACAGGTACTAGATGAGAGCTCCATGATGATGCATAAGTTAGTTGTTAATCTTACTATCCGGGAAGGGCATTTATGGTAGACTTTCCATGGTTGCTCAAATTGTTAGTTGGCGGCAATCTTGTAGGTCTCTAGACCTTTCTTTAGGTTCAGTTTTCTCTTCAAACCAATAATGGCTCCCTCTTTTATGTTCATTCTCTCTCTCTCTCTCTCTCTCTCCCTCTCTCTCTATTCTATTCCTACCCTGACTCAATCTTCATAGTCATATGTGCTTTCCTCTCCTCCCCTTCTCTTTCTCCTACTTCTCTTTCCATTCACTGTCCCCTCCACTTCCCCTGTGCTCTGGGGACTTGTCCCTTCCCCCTTCTGTGAGCAACTTTATATGAATCACTTAGAATACACCTTGTATCCTCATTCCTCTGGTGGTGTGAATTATAAGCTGGTGAGCCTTTGCTTTCTCTGAGTTTCAACAACCCATTTTGAAAACTGGAGATCCTCATGGCCTCATGGCAGCATTCGGCAGTATTATTGGTCACCACAACTGAAAAAGTTTGAAAAGGTTACTGGCTTTAATAGGAAAGGCTGGGAATGTTTCCCATCAAGATAAAAACACAAAACAGAATTTTTGGCCAAAAATATTATTATTAACATTGGTAATGTCTGGACCCCCCCATTTTAAGGATTATAGGGAAGTTAAATAAGATAATTTAATGAGTATTTGATGTAAAGAATGAAATATAATAAAATAATAATGTTTTATTTGCTTCTCTTCGGTGCTTCAAAGTGTATTGAAAAGTAATGTGTGACTTTATGCTTTACCCTTTAATTTTTATTTATAGTCTTCTGGAATATTCAGTTCTTGCATAGTAGTGTCTATCATCTTTCATTTTAATATTTTCACATTAGCTTCTGCTCATGGCTGAAAAGGGAAAATATTCAGCTAAGATTTCTCCTGATAAAACCAAAAATACAGTAAGCACAGATATAAATATTATATACTTGACAGAGAATTGTACGTATAGGAATGGGTTTACAGGTAGGTATGTTGTGAAACAATGAGCAGGCAGGATAGGTTGCCTTTACATAATTAAACAAATGCAACACATTTTTTAGTTAAACAAATATTCTGTACCATAAACAAATGCAGCACATCCTTTACATAGTTAAACAATTGTAACACATCTTTGTGTAGTTAAACAGATATTTTGAAATACATGTCCTTGTGTGATGTTCTCTTATCTATAACTTAAATATTATGATGCAAAATAAACTGTTTAAATACTATGATGCAGTGTTAATACCTCACAGGTTAAAAAAAGTAAATAAAACAAGAATTTTCTCATCCATGTATATTCATGTATAACAAAATGGACAAAATACTCATCAGAGACTATATTACTTCTTTTAGTAAAGATTAATATACATTTTCACTATTGCCTCAAACTAATTTAAAAAATTTATTTTTATTTTTATTGTTAGATTTACTAAATAGCATACCATCATAATTATCTATTGAAAACCCTGTTTTAATTGTCCTTTTAAAACAAGATTTTAAATAGTATTCACTGTCATGGATATTGTGTTTATGCTATTGATTGTTGTTAATAAACTCAATGAAAGGACCATAATTCTATTAACTGATGCCAGCCTTTCTCTAAACAGAAACTAAAGTCCGCTCAATATAACTTTTGTTAATTGTGTGCTTTTATTTTTATGTTAAAATATTTTAAATTTAAAAACTTTGTCATTAAATTTTTATAAATTTTAATTGAAGAAGTATTTCATTGAATAATTAGGTTTTTTAAGTCAACACATTCGATCTTCTCAAAGCTTTTACAGCAGTATATTCTTGATATAGAAGGGATCTTTCATCTGTGAACATTAATATTTATAAAGAGTACTGCATGCTTCAGTCAATGAATTGGCTCTGAAGGATCTTTCACAAGCTTACTATCAAGATGTTCATGAAAATAGTGAGGGAGTTGACAAAGAAAGCAGCCTAATTTTCAGGCTTCACTGTAGAGTAATGATCCTTTCAGACAAAATTACAACCCAGTAAAAGCATCACTTTCAAATATTTTCAATAATTGTTTGGGATACTATAGGTTTAAAGAAAGAACTCCTAAGTCTCCTTTAACATCTCAAATATATAAATGGTTTACCATGTATTTTATATTCTAGCTTATTTTCATAAAGAAATAGACACTGGCCTAATTTATAATGTACTGTCAGTTAATACTCATTGTCTTTTTATCATAAAGGTAAACCTTCATTTACCTTCACTTGAAATAAATTTCTGATGCAGCAATTGAGAATACAAAATATAGTATTCTTTAAGATTGTAATGTGATATTTGAGTAGTGGGGATTACTAATTTTTATTCTGATTAAGTGTTTGATTTGCTAAGAGATGGCTTTGCACAACCGTGGAAGCAGATTGTTCTTTTTAATCTAAAGGCTGCTTAGTGTCTCAGTGGAATTATGGCATTTCTTATGAGTTACTTGCTAATTACAATAACTTATTTAAATGCTCCCTTGTCAGATATTGTTTAGTCACTTGCTAATTATTAACCTTTCTGCCTTCATAATGAATTATTCTATATGTCTAAGTATCTACACATTAGTAGATAGAAAAGCTTATGCTTGGAGAGGTTAGATCATTTGTAATAAAATTATTCCACACGTATATTGAAATATGAAGCTGAGCCCTGGATTTCCCATATCCAAGAACTCCGTAATGCTAACTTTCCAAGAACAGATTAGAAATAACAAGAACATGTTTATTATGAATATTCCAATTCTCAGATTCACAAAAGATGCCCAGTATCAAACTGTACTATTAAAAATGATATGATTGCAAGAAGGAAAAATGTCTGTTGAGTCTGAGTAGCCATGGTTCATCACAAAAGTACTAGGGTTGTTTTTTTCAGATCTTCTATCCTTCAGGCTCCCTGGCAAGCCTCTAACACTCTGCTGTGAGCTAAACTCTCTACAGACAACCTGGCATTAATTAGTCTCCTTCGTTTATCTCTTCTCACTGAAGGAATCTGTGACTTGTCTTAATTCTTATTTCACCTCTGTGTGCTTCCTGTCTAGGATTAAACTCTTTGAACACTGGAAATGCCATTTTTTTTCTGTCTAAAATCAATGCCATCAATTTTACTTTTTCACATTTAAATAAAAAAAAAAAAAAAAACTTCTGAAGTCTCAAGTGCCACTTCTTAGCTTATGACAGAAAGGACTCTTGGAATGGACTTTTGGACATGATCTTTAAGCAGCATCTGATTATTCATAGCAGTTTACACAGGGTGAACTCACTTGGTTTGATGCATTTTTGGTAAATTCACAGACACAGGTCAGCATATGCTACATATCCTCACAACTACTTATTATTTTTGTGCTGCCCATCCTCCGTGGCAAGCTTACACCCTTCCTACTGTAACTGCTAGTCCCCTCGAAAATTTTTATTCTCTGCATGGAATTAAATGACATGAATACTGACATTCAAAGAGGGATTTTATATGAAACTGGACATTAATAAGTCTCCCAGTATGCAAAATGCTTGCCGAGTGTATGAAGGAAATGAATACATTTTCATATGAAACAATTCTTACTAAACGTAGTAAGATAAACAGACCATTTTATTTTCTAGCATCAGGTGTTGCCTTTTCGGCTTGGTTTTCATGTTCACCCAGATGCTATCTTCCTTTAATACAGTTAAAATATGTTATTTTTTAATAATTCCTTTAGATAACTACACTTGTATTATTTATGCAAAAGAATGTGTTTATGAATTCCTTATATCAAAGCAAAACAAAACATGTATTTATGAAAG